TAATTAGGTGTATCAAACTGCAGTCGGCTCCTCAGGAACATTTCGGAAGCTGAGTAGAATTTTGACACTTCGGGGAACTCGACCTAATAGCAAATTTATCGTACTATGGGATCCGGAGAACTTCCGTCCTTCGCATAGAACGGTAAAAATAAAGAGGTTCTTGCCAGAGAAAATGTTGCTGTTCTCCACCTTCAAACAAATGGAGAATGTTGAGGAATTCTGGCGCATAATTGCACAACAGAATTTCAGGTGGAAGGTGCTGCCTACTTTATTATGAAAATAACATCATCTTCTCCCACAGTAATGCTGACCAAGTCTATGAAGGAAATTCAGATGCTGAGTAAGGCACTAAATTTTTTTCAACGCTGATTTTCGTGCAAAAGGAATACTGCATCGAAATATTAATAATATTTGGAAAGTAGCTCTCATCTTCTCCTCTCGTCCACTCAACTCCAAATTGGGTTATTTCAAATTTTCACGTCGCTACCTACACACATTATTTTCGAATAAATTCTAACATGAATGAGTTTCTGACTTCTATACAAAATTCTTGGGCTCAGCTAAAATCACTGCGCAAATTCAAATTTAGTAATACTAATTTCTTTTTCTGGAAACGTAAAGAACAAATACTTCAGTGCTAGTGAAACCCTTAGGGATACGCTATGCGCTCACTTCCATTTATGCCATTATAGAGGTGTTTGAATGCATATATGGCCCATACAATCATTTGCGAGGGGTTTCCTTCTAATGTAATAAGTCAGTGTTTTCATCCTCCTAGGGGGATTTGCTGATTTTAAAGGGATGGAGGACCTAGTACGACTAGTCCAGGACACTGGGTTAAACCTAACGACTAAGGATCTAATTTCAGTACGGCTCCAACCTCTGCAGTACACATGCCTTTCTTTGAACATATTTTAGTGAAACTTTCGTTAAATATATCTTCAAGATTTAGTTTTTACAACAGATAACTGTGTCATACGACCACTGAACTCCTTCAAGAATATACTGTTTAGTGAATGACTTCAGCTATATCTATTTCAAAGTAACTCTACAGTGTAAGTGTGACATATTTCCGAATTATTAAAAAAGTGCTGCCACTAAAACAAAGAATGACCATTTGGAAGCAGATAACTGGGAAATATAGGAAATGGCCTACAGTAACGCTTCAGTGAATTACGTAACAACAACATAATCTTATCCTCTCAACCGCTAAAATACTACCTAGATCATGGGCAAAATGTCTTAACCAAGCATGCACTCACAGAACCTAACGGAATGACCAGTTAGACAGCTGTTAACCCTTACCGCCAATGTTGCTGACTTTCATGAAAACCTGACATCTCAGGTTCTTTCCATCCACTTACCTTGAAAAAAGAGAAGATTAGCGGCATGATGTGCAACTCACCAACTCGACTAATGAGACGTCAAGCTAGACGGGTCCGTTATTGGTTTGACAAAGCTATATGTAACGAAGGACAAAGATTTCTTATTCTCGAAAACTTCGATACCGTCAACACTATAGTCGAAAAGACCACGTGGAGACGTAAATAAAAGGTCTAGGGTAGAACACTGAGACAAAATCACAGACCGACTTTCCAGGCTCATATTCTATAAAAATAGTTCAGAAATAGAGCAGAGTAGTGCCTGACGTAAGGATTATTCTTAAATTATCCGACCAGAAAGATGTACCGAGGCACCAACGATACTATATGTAATTTTGTGACATTTCGTATAGGACGTCAAAGATAGAAGCTATATACGAACTTTCGAACATGCAACGAAGAGAATGAGATTGTAGTGCCATGACGGCCTGAAATACTAGCTGGCTTTTGTCGCAATTTTTGCCGATCTCGAAAATTCCTTCGCACTGGCAATTTGAACGTCATTATGTAGGCGCCTCTCAAACACCCGAGTCATCTATTATAGGTGAAAAACTCCAGACACCTGATATTGCAACTGCATTAAGGCGATGCCTCGCTCCCAACGCTGTGGTACGTTACTCATATAAAAGTGCTTTCATAAAATGACATTATCTCAGCGGAATTCCTCACGGTTGTACTGTAGAGTGCGCTCAAGCTAGCAGATCATTATCCTCCCGAAAATCTCCTGTGAACCGAGGAAGATGTTCATTGCGCCGTTGGCTTATCCTAGAAGACGGATCTTCCAGATATTTAACACCGTGACGAAACCATTATTCAAATGTGGATCAAACGTCACCTGTCGCTGTGACATATGTAGTGTACTTGATTTGAACTAAGGCATTTGCGAAATACAACCACAACGTTGCTAAGATATTTGCAAAACTCTGGACCGCAGGTGTCCATGGTGGGGAACGAACGCGCTATTGTCCTTTCCTGGGAGTAACGCGTTCACCACCACACCATGCGGGTCCTTCGTTTCGCCTGTCTCTCAGCTAGTCCTACCAATTTTTTGCCATCAGCAATCACTCGTCAAAGGGATTGATCTGGGAAGTGGTAGTGAACGCGTTACTCCCCGGAAAAGACAATAGTGCGATCATTCTTCACAGCAGACACCTGCGGTCCGGAGTTTTGCAAATATCTCAGCATTACAGAAGTTATATTTTGCAACATACCCTGCCGTTAAAATAAATAGGCAGTAAATAAAAAGGTTAATAATAATAACAGTATTAGTAGTAATAACACCCTTGCAATAGTAATAATGGATAATAATAATAGCAATGATGATAATAACGATAATATACGACAACAATAACAATAATAGTTACAACCACAATGATTCTGAGAATAACGGTGCTAGTAGACTGAAAACTAACTGACAGAAAGGCGAAACGAAAGACTCGCAAAGTGTGGTGGCGAAAGCGTTAGCCCCAGGATAGGGTAATAACGCGTTCGTTCCCTACCGGAGACACCTGCGGTCGGGAGTCTTGCAAATATCTCACCATCATTGTAGTTGTATCTTCCATAATATCCTGCCGTGAAAAATTGAAGTAGGCAGTAAAAAAAAGTGCTAACACAATAATATTACATCAGCAAAAATTTCAACGATAATATTCAATGACGATGTAACAAGCAAGGTAAGTTGGTTTGTCTAGCAGGGAACTGTTCGGTATGGAACATTACAAAGTTCAAGCGCTTCAATTTTGGAAAAAACAAAGTTCAAAAAGTTTAAAACGCTACAAAATCTAGCATACAAATACATTTGTAATTCTCGTATGCTATTATGCTTACTATTGAAATTCATCTTTTATGAATTAAAGTAGGAACCACTACATTCAAAGCATTTTTGCTACAAATCCAGACCTGTCACCTACATGAGATGTTGCACATCTGGACAAGATAAAATTGTCGAAATCATTTTGCACTACCAACTGGTGGAGTAACATCTTCTTACGAAGAGGTTATTAGAAATGTTCAAAGAAATGGCAATTCGTCTACTGTACACGGCCTAGAGCATAGAATATAATGGCAGAACGGTAATGAAGTGCTAAAGAATGGTAGAACCACAGAAGACTTCAGAATCAGAATCTTTCCTTGGTCAACTCATTTATCAGAATTTCTCATTCATAACTTTTTAATTTAGTTTAGGTGCGCCAAAACAGTTTTCTTTGACACTCCCGCGACGACGCCTTACCTAGAGTTTTTGCAGAGTAGACGAAGTCTAATTTCCCGCCGCACTCTGACATATATGGGTGTCACACCGGCACAATGGCAGTTTTTATATGGCCCCGCCCCATTTTGTTACAATTTTCGTCTACAAACCGGTTTTCCTTGCTCTTTGGAAAGATTTCTGCAGTTATCTTATCCTATGTATGCTCCATGTTCTTCCACACACCTTCCTCTGTTTTACGTGTATACACAACTCCTATGTATGGAGAAAAACAGTCGCTACGCAGCCATAATGCTAACAGCATTTAGTAAAGCTGTGCAAGTTCTGCAAGGAATTTTACGATGTTTAGTTTCTGCTTTCGACACCCCTTGATTCTAAAGAACACCCAGAAGCCATCATACAATTGAAAATTAGAAAACAACAAATTGCTTGGAAAAAAATGATGCTGTACACTGCATGCGATGCCAGTTTCTTCGAGGCACAAGCACTGCTGCGCCTATTCACTGACCACACTCTCCAGGGCACAAATTCTCCTCAACAGCAGTAGTCTCTCACAACAAAATGAGATTTCAGTGAAGAATTATGAAGAAGACATCCTCATGGACAACGTCCACCTTAGCACATGCTTTGGATGGGATATCGATTGATTGTAAGTATGGGCAACACTCCTGTGCACCAAAAGAAACCACCGGAAAGAAAACGACACCTATAAGCGTCTTACCGGCCATTCTAGCAAATGCTATTATGACATGTATGGGTGTCATCCACCGCGAGAGTGTTAACTCTTCTGCTTTCGAATCGTCTAACAGAACCGCTTTACATCTAACGTTCTTCAGGGTTCTTTATCGATAACACAAGTCATTCCAGACTTTCATTATTATCGGGACTATCATCTGCACCATGAAATTCCAAAAGAAGTTTTGTAGTAAAGTCGCTAACGGCTCCCTGTCCAAATGCAACATTAAAATTAATTCTGCTTTCTTTCCACTGCTTTAAATCCAGATTTAAGATCGTATAAAAAAGGAGCGTCCCAATTAATTTGATTTCCATTCTCACCAAAAATATGCACTTTTACCACAAGTTAGTACTAAAACGGAGATACAAATATGAAGATGTGCAGCGATATCTGCTCTTTAACGTCCTATACGAAATATTCATGAGAAAATTACAAACGCGAAAAAACATTTGAAAACTTTGTGCTGCAAAAGTGGACGCTTTATGCTGGAAAATCTATACATGTACATTTTTTCAAATTTTGCATAGGTTTTGAGTAATAAAGGAGTTCATCAAAGAATGTTTGTCTCATACAGCATACCTGCTAACTCGTGAGAAAAAGATGACTTGAAAAATTGAACCCCACCACACTTCATTCAGTGTTGCTTAAAGTATGAAGCACATCTATAGAACTTTACCTAATTGATGGTGCAGATATAAGAGCCATGAGAATGATACGACCGAACACCACCGGATGCTTCGTATCCACGGCAAACACATGCTTTAAGAAGAATGTATTCAATTCAGTCAGCTGAAATATGAACAGGTAATGCAGAATGAAGCCGTGAAAAACACGAGTTCGAAAACACCTGCGATAAGAAATGGCTGGACGGATTGCTGCAAGAAGAATTTTGCTCTTCAGAAGCTATATTTGATATATATAGTCAACCTCTTCAAGAAGCTAAGGTATTTGAAACATAGAAGTTTTTTAAAAAATTTCCACAGTCCTTTAAACAAATTCATTCTCTAAATGAACGACGTTAAAGTGGTTCGTTAAAAAAAGGATAAGCTCTCAGCGTTGATCAATCCCTGGGCGATGCACCACGCATTCCAGTGCATTCCTAGCATAGTTACAGGTGATTGAATGCATACCTGGCCTTTACAATGACTCGCGGTGATCAAACGATGTATCGAACCAGTGCTGCTATCCTCCCAGATAAGTCTGGTACCAATTTGCATTCCCGGAGAGATGGAAGGCTTGGTGAACCTTGGGCGCGCGCGCCAATTCCATGTTTCACGACTGAATTCACGACTTCTGCAGTGTCATAGATGTTATTAGAATCACCGATAAACAGTTTCGAATGGTGCAATTGTCAGCGGCGCAGATAGATACGGAGATTAAGGAAATGCAAGAAGATTATAAAAAATTATGTTAGCTTACCAGCCAGATTAGTACAAAGAAATAGATAGCCATTGTTCGCCTGAATGCCTTTGAATTAAACCAGTCGAACTCTGTCCAACTTTCTGGTGTAAATTGCATCACGGCCCTTTTGAAGCGTCCACGATGAGACCTGATATCTCTGAAAAAGCCGTTATGAAATGTACTTCACAATTACAAGAGTCTAACTATGAAAACTAAGTACAATTCTCAACAATAACGATCTGCATAGACAACTCTAAATTTTCATAACATAATTATCAGGTAGAAACTCATAACCTGGGTTACAAGTGCCATGTCGAGACTTCTTTGTGTAAACGCTTATAAAACACTACTAGTTGTCAACCTTCTATTTACTACCTACTACAAATTTTCACGTCAAGGTATTATGTAAGAAACAACCACAACGATGCTGAGAGATTTGAAAAACTCCGGATCGCAGGTGTTTGCGGTGGGGAATGAACGCGCTATTACCCTTTCAGGGGGCTAACGTGTTCATCATCACACCATGCGGGTCCTTTGTTTCTCCTGTCTCTCAGCTAGTTTTCTAGTACTACCATTTCCTACTTCTAGCAGTGCGCTTTACTAACATATCTTAGGAAAAAAATAAATGAAGAAGAACACCTACTTTATGCTCTCCCAGTGGAACTGTCGCATTTGAAAGAAATTACACACTTTTAACCCGAACCAAATACCAAGTCCGTTGCATATAAGTATGTCAAGAATAATGGCATCCCACCAACACTCCTCAAAATTCGGTAACAATTGCGTAAATACTACCTGAAATGAATAAACACAGAATGCGGTTAAACTTTTATATAGAATGAAATGAAAATCAACTATACCTCAGTAATCTCCCAGGCTATGCTGATATACCAACATATTATACCATGCCGAATTAATAACGCTTTCAAAGCCCAGCCAATAAAATGGCCCACAGCGAAGACATCCATGTGACTCCAAATTCGTTCTAAGGTGATGTCCGAGCAGTTCACTGCATATGCCTATTAAAAATATCGTTTCAAAGAGTACAACATTTAAGAGATAAACGTATCAAAGTCCAACCTTTTCCTCAAGTCTCTCCTTACTGAGACCCTCAGGATCCAACCAAGAAAGTACTTTCTTTATATCGACGAAAGTTTGAAAAAGAGAAAATTGTAAAATCATCAGGTAAACCACTGACATTCCAAATATGATTCGCCACAGTATAGGATGCGGTCGAATGAAAGGGCCTATATAAAAAAGAAAAACTTCGTTGCATACTGGTCCTGGACATCAACTGCAAACTTGGAATATAAAACAGAAAAGAAGACATCTAACCATTTGGAAATGCAAGAGCGCTGACAACAACGAAGAGAACGAGTGTACTAATACAACCGTCATATATGTTTTGATCAGTGCTTCTATCCAATCTGCTGCAGAAAAATTGAAATTGCAATTGTAAGACGATTACAGCAAACAGACGTATTTATAATGAACTCAATCATTATCCTAGGAAGATATGCGAAGTGAACAAAGAATTTGTTTATATGTTCTTATGAACTGATCTTGTTGAGCTGATGAGAGGGCCGTTGCTGTTATTTCGTCGTCCTCAGAGCCAATATTGTTACGAGAGAGACTCAGCAACGACTACTCATGCCAACCTCGCACCGGCTCAACAACGGCAGCTCATAGGAACACACAAGTGAAAAAATCTATCTATCCTGAGGTGTATAGAAAGTCGGTTTGAGTTGCTGAATGAAGAATATCAACCAGTCGGTTGCTGTAGAGGAAAAAATAGAAGAAAACAGTATAAACCTACTCTGAAAATGCTTTGTACCAGACGAAAGCGCATAAGCAAGCTAAGATCGTAAGAGTGTGAGGCTTGTACAATATATCAAGTGTAATGTCTTCAACGACACGATCGTTAACCATTTGAAAATGTATCCGCTCGAGCTCCTTTCGTGTCCGTCGGCGAACGGTTCGAATTGATCTAAACATCCAGTGAAAGAAAAGCTTAAGTACTCGGCGTTGATCAATCCCTGACGGAAATGCTGCACTCGACTTCACTAAGCATCATCAGAGGTGATTGAATGCATATCTGGCCTTCACAATGACTCGCGGTGGACTACTTACGTAACGAGCCAGCGCTGCTATCCTCCCAGACTAATATGGTACTTGCTTACTGATCCCAAAGCGATGGAAGGCTTGGTGGGCCGAGAACGTGGAGATCGATCCCATGTGATTGCAGGGCGCCTCTAACCACTGCGCCCCATTCAACATATAAACATCTATGTATGGGTGTTTACGTAAACAGAAACTAAGGCCTTAGTTATACTCAACATTGGATTGACAACAGCAGAAAGGATGAACATAATTAGAACATTGAAAAGATCAATTATGACAGAAGTACGAACCTTTCTTCATCTTCAGCTTCTCCTTCTGTCGTGCAGCACTCCGGAGCTGTTCTCCAGTCATTCTCATGTAGTGGAGCGACCTCATCGTCATCCCGGATCATCACTCGACGTCGCAAATGGCTTTCACCTTCTTTCATACATAAATATAACATTATTTAGGAGGTTTTAAAAGATGTAGTTTTAAAAGACGTGAAACAAACAGGCGCATCAACATGGTTAGTCGTTTAAGTCCGCTACACTTCTCGATGGACCTTAATGCACTAGTGAAGTCCTAGGTTCTAAGATTGAACACTGCTGTGCTCACTGATGGATGGAAGTGCTTATCAGTGGTTTATCGTACGATACCAAGCAATGTATGATATAAAGAAGACCAACAAGTGAAAAAAATGGGCAAGACTAGATAACTTTTGGAAATATCAAAAATGATGGCAGTAGAAGTGAGCTAGTAACTACAAGCTTTTGAGCATATTCAAACTGAGGAGAACTTATGAAACTCGATAGTAGGGATTTCTATTCAGGAAACCTAGGAAAATGATAGGGCAAACTAAGATAGGATATGAAATTCGGGTTTTTCTTTGATGGACACGAAAAGGGAAAACGGATTGAGACCAAATGAAAGACAATGTTGAAAGAACAAAGGATTACGCATTGAGCCCAAATCGAAGATTATGTTAAAAGAATAAACCATTCGAAAGAATAAACGATTATTGTAAGCTAGCCTGGTCCTTGTAAGACGAAATTCGATTTGGAAACGGATTTGGCACTATTTTTTTCATTTGTGACTTTTGTTACACTACCGAGTAGCATTGGAACTCTTCGCATCAGCGACCTGATAAGATGTAATGAAAATATTTCAAAGGTGAGGCAACGTACCTAAAACCATTTAATATTGAAATGGAATCCCAAGTACCGAAACCACAACATACGGAAAATAGTGGTTACTTAAGGAATACAGTCAAATCTTCTTACAATAAGGTTTAAAATGGGAAGGTATGCCTTCCTTAAGACGAAGACTTGAGACTTTAGCCGACTAAGAAAACTTCTAGAGGCTTTTTGGATAAATACCAGGTACCCTAGAATGAACAGCAGAGAGGAATGCCCGGAGACCACACGTGATCTGGCCCCGTACCTTCGCATCGACTTTTGATGTGGGGTGGTGCATTTATCGACCATGTGCGACTCTGATAAGGTGCTCTTCCTCAATGGAAGGCACGTAATAAGCGGTGGGTTTTTCGAGAAGCTGTTGATCGTGTGATTGCGATTTAGATTTTCACCTTTCTGTGTGTTATCGGAGCGTTTGACTTAGTCAATTGCCTAGTAATATACCCTCCCAGGCTCTGCAGAAGGCGAAATCCGCCGGAACGTCATCTTTAACGGAATAAAGAATAAAGTAACACCTCGTGTTTGCTCAACAAGAATATTGAGAACTACTTTATCAATACCGAGGTTAACATAAAGTCGGTCGTGGGCACTACTTCTTAAGAATGTCGTGTAAGCTGACCAATCTATGAAAACGGATTGTCTTTAAGGCATATTGAGGCTTACGGTGGTTTGTACGTATTTACGGACACTTCAACCCTAACATGCCAATCTTAACAGATCGAGGACATCGAGTACATCGAGGACATCCATAACCCGATTCAGGCCAAGCCAACGTATTGGTTTTTGTTTTCCCTTGTTAGATGTGCCCTAACCTTCTCGGTTTGTATAGAAACCTTGAAAAAGTGCTCTCGGGAAAGCCAATGGGTCTACATTATGATTCCGTGTGGTATTTCCTTATATAGTCGTGATGATATTTTGCAATGCCAGTAGAGTTAGACAAACAATGTTCTGATCCTGCTCTCGGTTTAGGATTTGGTAGTTTTGTTCATCAAGACTAAGTTTAACACTTAAGGGACTTCAAAACGTAAACGAAAGAAGAAAACGAGCGTAAACCATCTTCTTTAATAGCTTGTTAAATTTTTCTTGGATAATTGCTTGACCCGTCTTCACTGGTTTTGCGAGGCCCACCATAATTTCCACTTTCTAGGAGATTTGCTGGTTTAGCCATTGTAGTTCTCTGGAATCCCGAGGTCAACCTAGCTAGAGCCTGCCCTAGGTCTTCACCACGTGGTGTAGACCTGGTGTTGATAATAAATTTTACAGGATTAAACTTGTTAGTGTTGATCATAAATCTCGATATCTGTTCTTTCGCTATTTGCTAAATAGTGTACGCTAATAGCTGTCCTGTCGATAAGAGTTAACAAAGGCCGCTGGTCTAGCCACTCTGTCTTCTACTTCTAACGTTTAGAACTTTTTTGCTTACTTTCTCAGTGTCCGTATTACACCATAACACTCATATTGTACTAATAGAGCTGTTTTAGGTGAGTCTTACCTTCACATATAAGTAGTGGGAATCTCGAAAAGTAAGGGCACAATACGACGCTCCACTGTCCTAGTATAAAATTAGTCGCATGGTGACAAATCTCCTGCTGATCCACAACGGCGGCGGCTGCTTGTGGTGGTGACGACCTGAGGCAGCAGACTCTAGCAGGGCTGTCCTCAGGGCTCCAGGAAACCACAGTGGGTAGACAAGCAAAACTCCGAAGCTATAAACATTGTGCTGGGGTCCGTACGACCAGTGAAGACGGGCCATTCAAGTATCGAAGTAACGGCAGGGTCGTATAAATTGTGATTACCAGTATTTATTCATGAATAACGGATACCTTCTCTGTTGATTAAAAACATCCTTATTCCTTAATTATAGTTATTTAATTTGTTAATAGATATAACAGAGTGTATGACATCACATGGCTGTGTTATGTAAGGGGTGTGCGTAGCTAATTGGCCGGAAGTGCCGTGCAATACACATGGGATCGAACCCGCGCCGCAGACCCATCAAGCCCTCCATCCCTCGGGGTCCGCACACTGGCTCGATACATCGGTAGCCACCGCGATTCGCGTAAATGTCAGATAGGTATTCAAACACCTCCAACGATGTAACGAAGGGAGTCCAGTGCATGGCGCATCCTCAGGGATTGATCAACGTCGAGCATCCAATCCTTTATTATCAATAGATATTTGCCCAGCCAGAGAATAGCAGAAAAAAATGAACCAAAGGATTCGTGTACGCTGTTTGTTAAGCTATCAACTAAGTACTAGCAGATGTAGAGTTAAGGCTATAAAGATTTGAGGAACAACGTGCACGATGACGGTCCAATCGCATTCAGAATTTCGAAACAAAGCTTTGACATTTCCCGAAATTGATCAATCACTGAACAGCCACTGATGACGAGATCAATATCGTTGTAAAAATGGTACTGGAGCGACACAGGTGACCTCCACGACATACTGGGTATCCTAACATTTACTGTACGGCACTGTAATAGAACTATTCGATACAAGTAAGTGTTAATTATTCGTAGCGTTCAATACCGTCCGATTTCGTAGAATGCTCTAGAATTTTGTTGCCAATAAAATATGTTATGGATCAGTGTCGTCATTTTTTATTTATCACCTATAGGTCAACAACACGGCTGAGAGACAGGCGAAACGAAGGGCCCGCATGGTGTGGTGGTGAACGCGTTAGCCCCCGGAAAGGGAAATAGCGTGTTCGGTCTTCAGCGCAGACACCAGCGGTCCAGAGTTTTGCGAATATCTCAACGTCATTACGGTTACTTTAAGGATTTTTTACCAGGAAATCAAGTAAACCTTCCAGATATTGAGCGAAAGTATTGAAAATATTACATTATTGAATATGCAGGATAGATTCTTAAATCGCTTTTAGTCCTCTAATCCTTATTATTTTAATCCTGTTTGGTTCACTATTTGGTGTAGTGTAGCATAAGAACTTACTAGAACATGCTTCACAAGAAATCTATCTCTACAGGGGTTTTGGAAATTTCCATCGATTTGTCAATGATATCGGTCAATAATCTCTTTCAGCAATCTTGCTTAAACACGGTGATGCTGGGATATTTGCAAAACTCCGGATCGCAGGTGGCTGCAGCGGAGATCGAACCTCGTTACTACACTTCCCTTTTCTTTCCTTTCTTGCTTTCCTAATTTTGATTTATCTCAGCAGAAGCCCCTTAAGCCCCTTGGACTACTTTGGTCGAATTTGTAACGGGGAAGCAATTTAGCGGTCAAGTCCGCTTGTTGGTTTCATTACAACCACTATATAGCGAACAGCTATGAAGAAAACGAAGCATCAGTTCAGTGGTAGTACTTGGAAATCACTAGGCGAGGAAGATTTGGGCCAACGACATTGAGATGACGTCAATTAGCGTTCTTTGTGTGTTCCTCTGTTTTAACCCTTTTATTTACTGCCTTTTTCTTTTTAATGGCAGGGTATGTTGCGAAATATAACTCGTATGAAATGCTGAGATATTTGCAAAATCTCCGGACCGCAGGTGTATGCAGTGGGGAACGAACACGCGTTGTTGTCCTTGCCGGGGAGCAGCGCACTTCACCACTACACCATCCGGGTCCTTCGTATTGCCTGTCTCTCAGCTAGTTCTATCGATCTTTTTGCCGTCAACGGGATAGATCTGGGGAGCCCAAATCGACATTGAACCCAGTTAAGCTGAGGCTTAGTTATAATTACAATCGTAACCCTTTTATTCAGCATTTCATACGAATTATATTTCGCAACATACCCTGCCATTAAGAAGAAAAAAGCAGTAAATAAAAGGGTTAAGATTGTGATTATAACTAAGCCTCAGCTTAACTGGGTTCAATGTCGATTTGGGCTCCCCAGATCTATCCCGTTGACGGGTGATTGCTGATGGCAAAAAGATCGATAGAACTATCTGAGACAGTTTAGACGAAGGACCCGGATGGTGTAGTGGTGAAGTGCGCTGCTCCCCGGCAAGGACAACAACGCGTGTTCGTTCCCCACTGCACACACCTGCGGTCCGGAGTTTTGCAAATATCTCAGCATTTCATACGAGTTATGTTCCTCTGTTTGTTCTCTGTTTTTTCTTCATACTCTGTTCCATTTTCGATGCTACTCGTAACGTCTTCTGATTAGTAAATGGAAATAGCTAACCTAATTACAGTAATGTTGTCAGTTTTCTTGTTCTTGGCAGCGTTTATCATCCTGCTTTTGAAATGGCTGGATATTCGTTCACTGGATGAACTTAGAAATATTTTCAACCTTGTTGTCGCTGGTAATGGCCAACATATGCTATCGAATCTTTTCCAGGTAATCTTTTAGTGAGGACCATTTACAAATATGATTTAGATTGTGGTGCTACATCAGGTCAAAAGGTCATCAGGCCAAAGTAATTTCTTCTAGGTCGATGAGAATTCGAACAGACATGGTGGTGAGCTTGTTGCTGCAGTGCTCAAGGTAGGTAAATTTGGATCAGTGATTTGGTAATCAAAAGCCTTTTGTTTCTGTTCGTTCCGGCGTTTCTTAAAGTAGACAAATTCGGGCAAGTGGTTTGATAACCAAAAGGCCTTTTCTTTTTGTTGGTTCTGGGACTTCCTAAGGTAGACAAATTCGGATCAGTGGTTTGGTAACCGAAAGTCTTTTGTTTCTGTTAGTTTGGGGGTTTCTTTTTCTTTTTCTGTCGTCATTTGAATGCGATGGTTTACCATATGTTTCTATTTATTCTTAGTCCCATAACGTTCAAGAAATCTTCGTTCTGTGTGGTGGTCATATATCGCCGATTCTTGTAGCTGCTGAGAAGCTCGGAATAAAAATCATCGATACTCGTCACGAGGTATGGAGGTGACTTTATGAACCTTCTAAACGTTTATGTTTCTCGTCTATGATGAACTTGTTGCGTGGACAACCTAGCATTAAAGGAGTTTAAAAACCCTTTTAGGTTACAGCCGTCTTCGCCGCAGATGCGGTCGCACGTCTACGTCAATCCATCGGAGTCGCTGCAGTAACTGCAGGTCCAGGTGTTACGAATACCATCACAGCAGTGAAGAATGCTCAGATGGCTGAGAGCCCACTGCTGCTCATTGGTGGTGCTGCTCCTACATTGCTCAAAGGTCGTGGTGCCTTACAGGTACAACTTCCAACTTTGAACAAATGACGGTTAAGGTATTGTTCAAGAATTCTTCTTGTTTGATTACTTGGGAAAATTTGCCTTGGTGATCCTCTCTAGCACATTAACCATGCTTACTTAGATAAGCCTTTGAGCGATGTTCCTTTACAGGATATAGACCAACTCGTCCTACTTCGCCCACTCTGTAAATATGTAGCACGTGTGGAGCGACTACGTGATATTGTGCCAACCGTTCGTGAAGCTATTAAGGTATATGATATCGTTATTAGCTCCTAGATCGTGAACTTAAATGTTTTTATTTAGGCAGCCGTATCAGGTTGCCCAGGACCAGTATTTGTTGAGTTTCCAGTGGACGTACTATATCCTTATCAACTTGTAGTCAAAGAGATCGGCTTCAGTACGAAATCCGATGGTTTTGTACAGGTATGCTATAGTTAATTGGAATATAGATGCGTTATTCCTGTTCCTCGTTATGCGAGCTCCAACACTTTTTCCATTCATTCCGTTATCCTGGTACCAACTACGTCTCTGAAAGAGGTTAGACTTGCCTGGGTTTGGCTGTGGTTTGAAGGTCAGCTGCTCTTTCTTCATTGACGTATCGAGTAACAGTTGAATTTTTCTCTGAAGTCCTAAAATAGCCGTTTTAGAGCAGCCACAGCGCTTTTATCGCTCGGAGTCGTCATCCCTTTTGATGAGAAGATGTTTCAAATATTAATATTTAGATTGTTGTTTGATGGCAGCGGTTTTTACGATTATTAGAGCAATTAATCAAGAACAATGTAATGTGTCGGATCCCCAGTGTTTCCAATACGTTTGAAAGATTTCGACGGATTTTTAAGGCTTGGGATTACTGTAGAAGTGGTCTTACCAATCGATTTACCCACGTGCTTGCTGTATGCGGAGCGATAATGTTTATTAACAGTGATGAAAGCATCTTAAAAGAAGACAAAAAGACTAGTTCTTCCTGCACAGTAACAAGCTTTACTAACAGGAGGGTTCTAGAAACTACAAATTTCGATGACGTCAATGTTCGTGGGAACAGTATATTCACTGTAATGGCAATGAAACAAGAACTGTGAAAATTGTACTCGCACATTTACAATTGATAATACTTTAGTATTCAAAGAAATATTATTCTGACTCAGAACTTAGGTTAGGTTGAAGAAACGAGTTATTGCCATGCAAGCAAGCTTTAGTGAGCTTTCAAGAGTGTTAGTGTTTCAACATCGTCATGTTTCACCACGTTTCATATTTCAGAAGGCTTTGAATTGCTACCTTCGGTATCATGTTTCGAGACAGTTTAGTGCTGCTTGGCAAAATCAAGACATTAGTCCACTACCATCACAGATTCCATTGCCTACTTTGGATGAGGTTGTAGAATTATTGTTTAATACCTTCAAAATTTCATACAGTTTTCCTGTTTTGAAACATTGTCAATGAATCTCTTTGAAAGGTCTCTTATTTCATACCTAACTCGTTATTTCGGAGACATTTTATTGATTTACTGTTTTGGTAACACTCTATTTAGGTCAGAAAAATTGTCCAACTTATTCATGAAGCGAAGAAGCCGTTATTGCTGATTGGTAGTCAGGCAATGCTTCCTCCAGTAGTTCCGCAAAATTTGGTCAAAGCAGTTGAAGTACGGCTGAAATAAACCATTGATGCGTTTTTCATTTTCATTACTTTTACCGTAGCGTCTTTATTACAGTCACTGGGAATTCCTGTTTTTCTTGGTGGAATGGCGCGTGGTCTGTTAGGGAAGGAAAATCCTCTTCAAATGCGGCAGAATAGAAAGGAGGCGTTACGTGAAGCTGATCTGACAATATTGGCCGGTTGGTTTGCGTTGTTTGCCGTTTTTATACTCTTGTTTTTAACTATTTGAAAACGTCCATAATAAATTCCAATCTTTACGGCGATTACAATGTTAACTCTTTATTTACTGCTTACTACAATTTTTCAAAGCAGGGTATATGTGAAACATAACCACAATAATATACGCTACTCTGCTGTGACAAATTGTAGAAGGGAATAAATAAAAAGTTAACATTGTGGTTTCGACTACATCCTCAGCTTAACTAGGTTCAATTCCGATTTAGGCTCCCTAGATCAATTCTTTTGACAGGTGATTGCTTATGGCATTGATAGATAGAAAACTAGCTGAGAAAAAGGCGAAACGAAAGACTCGCATGGGGTGGTGGTGAATGCTCTAGCCTCCGGAAAGAGTAACATCGTGTTCGTTTCTCACCGCAGACACTTTCGGTTCGGAGTTTTGCAAATATCTCAGCATTATTGTGGTTTTTGTGGAGATTGTTGCTTACTATAGATCCTAAGTTTGGTGAAGTTTATTAGCATTTAAGGTACACCATATGATTTTCACGCGTTTGCGTACATTGAGGGTACAACGTGCATGTCTCCCTACTGTTTGTTAACTTTTAAGGTACTGTTTGTGATTTCCGACTGTCTTACGGACGTATACTGTCTACGAAGTCGAAAATTGTGTCCATTAACAGGAGCCGCAACCAATTGACAAAGGTAGTTATTACTCCTGTCAAATTCAAGCGCTACCCGTTTTGGTGATTTCCGCCGACAATTGAGCAGAATTGGAAATCCTTGTTTTCTTCTCGTTTTCATACTCTTGCGTTTTAACTGCACATCATGAAAGCGTTTCTGAAAAACCAGCAACGCTTATTCTGGCTATTTCATGTTTTAAAACACCGTACGTTTTGATTAACTCTTCAACTGTTTCAGTTGTTGTTTCCTAGATGACTTACCTTAGTGTTTCCATGAAAGTATTCGTTAACCATTCCTATGTTTTTGCATGGTGTTTGTTAGGGTTGGGTCACTTGTACTGGAGTATTGTCCTATCGCGTGTTATGATTCTTCTTTAAAACCTGTTTATTTCTCTGAATATTCTTAGTTGTTCATAAACTGACGTCATATTTCAGTAGTAGGTCAAATTTTATTTTTAGCGCAGCTTATCCCAAATGTTGCGATTTTATATGGAACAAATTTTGCAAAATTTTGCCGAGATGTCACACGATCCTATCGTTTAGAACGAGAAGACTTTCTGGAATGCAGACATCTCTGTGCTCGCCGACGTTGCATCGACGTTGGTTGAAGTTGCCAAGCAAGTTGGAAAGGTCTGTACTTCTTGGCAGTGAATTATTTCCAAAAGAATTTTCACAGCACCTTGTAGAAAGTTGGGTTCCCTGTTTCAGGCTCGCTGCAATGCGCAATGTGAGTGGTTGCATGAGTTGAGGAGAAGAGATAACCAAAAAGAGGAAGCAAATGTAGCAAAGATGGCGGATGAATTAGTAAACGGGCTTATTAATCCTCTTAACTTTTTGGCGCGTCTCGACAAGGTGAGGATAAGAATACTCTATTGTAAAAGAACATGTGGTATAGTCTGCAATCTGCAACAATGCGCATTGATTTCAGTTTGTACGTTTCCGAAAACATTTTTATATCTAAACCTTGGTCAAATTTATTTCACCTCATGGTAAACTTGGCGCAGTGGTTGGAAGCGCCTTTGCGACACACACGTGGAATCGATCCCCGCACCCATGGCCCACCAAACCTTCCATCCCTCCGGGGTCGGCAAATTGGTACCAGACTTGTCTGGGAGGATAGCAGCGCTGGTTCGATACATCGGTTGGGCCACTGGGAGTCGTTGTAATGGTCAGATATGCATTCAATCACCTCCAACAATAATTGACGAAGTCGAATGCACGGCGCATCCTTCAGGGATTGATCAACGCCGAGAGCTTTATCCTTTTTTTATCATGGTAAACTTTATTAATTGAAATAACAACCACTGTGGTGCTGAGACATTTTCTACTTCTGGTGTTACGCACTGCACTACTAAGGCCCTTACATTGCCGTTCTCTCAGCCAGTTTTATTATTTTTCACGGTAGGGTATGATGTCTGGGATCTGGCCTGGGATCCAAGTTTCGGAAATATCTCAGCGTTACAGTGCTTGTATTGCACATCATACGTTGCTGTGAAAAACAATGATAAGCAGTGAATGAAAAGTTAACATAGCAATTTCGACTAAAGCCTCTGCTAAACTGGGTTTAATGCCGATTTGCGCTCCCCAGATCAATTTCGTTGACGACCGATTACTGATGGCACTGGTAGATAGAAAACTAGCTGAGAGACAAGATAAGCAAAGACCTCATTGGTGCAGTGGGTAACACGTGAACTCCCGGGAAGGATAGTCGCGCGTTCGAATCTGACCTGTGGTCAAGGTTTTGCAAATATCTCAGCCTCACAGTGGTTGTATTTCACATCATATCTCGCAATAAAAAATGATAAGGGAAGTAAATAAATGCTAAACATTAAAATAACAACTTTTAGGGTCTACAGAACTTTGCCATTAAATTACTTAGAATGAATTTAAGATCCTCAGAGAGCAAAAAAATTAATTTCTTCGGGTCATTTCGAACCTCGAGGAGCGAAAGGCAGATTTTTCTTCTGACTAAACATGATAATATTATCGAGTATGTCGTTGGTGCTGGAGGTCTCGTTAAGACCAAGCTTGCGTTAAGGGTTTTGCCGATTTTGGTCTATTTTAAACAAGTTTAGAATTAAATAAACTCCATGAAAATTAGTAATTAATTTCGAACGTTTTGACAGACCTGCTATATTTTATTTCTGTTATCAACTCTTCAGATGCTCTAATTATTGAAAAATTGCCACCAGTTTTCAAAAAGTTTGATTCGTCTCTATCATGTTAAACATACTAGTGACGAAACTGAGTTTGATCTCTCATTTTGAGCGCTTAATACGTCTTTAGAGGTCTACTAGCCCTAGAAATGATGTGGCGGCATTTTCTTATCACTTTAACACTGGGATTTTTACAGAAACTTCCTGACGACGCCATCCTTGTTGCAGATGGAGGAGATTTTGTTGGATCGGCAGCCTACATTCTACGACCTCGCGGCCCTTTGCAGTGGCTTGATCCAGGAGCTTTTGGGACACTCGGTGTTGGTGGAGGATTTGCACTCGGAGCAAAGGTTTTGCCTAAATTTTTTAGCTCTGCGAACTGGAATTTCGAATCTATCAGTCTTACAGGTTGTACATTCCAATCGGCCAGTATACATCTTGTGGGGTGACGGATCTTCAGGATACTCAATAATGGAATATGATACGTTTCATCGTCACAAGCTCCCAGTAATAGGGATTATTGGCAACGACGCATGTTGGACACAAATCGCTCGAGAGCAGATTCCTATGTTCAGCAGCAGCGTTGCGGTTGATTTAGCGGTACATTATCTTTTTTTTTCAGAAAGAAACAAGGACGGAAAAATTGGAGCCGTTCGGTTATGCGAATATGAGAGTTATGCGGTATTCTTTTTCAGCGCACTGACTACCACGAAATTGCGGTAGCCCTGGACGGATGGGGAACTGCGTTGTCAAAAGAAAACGTGTCTTTTACTGAGGAAATTTTGGATGAAGCACTCCATCAGAGTCGTGAAGGCCGATCCGCACTGGTTAACATTCTTATCGGCAAAACGAATTTTAGAGAGGGTTCAATCTCTGTTTAGATAAACTTCTAGGCGAATAACAATCTGATGAATAAGAAGAGGTAGTTATTCCTGTTGTAAAAATGAAGGAAAATAGTTGTTGCTGTTGTTTAGACTGGATCTTTTTTGTTCCAAGATTTATCACAACTTTCGACTGTATCTAAGCCTAACCACCTACTCTGATTCTGCACAGAAGCCTAACAGTTCCCATATGATAATTTAATACAGTTGTAATTAAAGTATCATAGTTACTTTTATCAGGGCTGGTTTTGGAAGTTTTCTAAGCACATTGCTCACAATATGGGCTACCACATCACCAACAATTACTGTATATTTTCAAAACTAAAACCTCCCATATTTAGTTCTCTTCAATGTTGCTATGAAGAAATTTTTTTTGAAGTAAATCTATTTTCTCATAAGAAGAATCTACAGCATTCATTTATATTAGGAATGTTAAGCACGTCAATATAAGCGACAGATGAGGGGTTCTAAAATGAGGGAGAGGGAATGGAACGCGAATTGAACTCGACAGTGTGCTAGCCATAGAAGGCAAGTGAATCTGAGAAAAAGCTCTTCACCTGCGTTGTTTCAGACTGTACTAGATTTAATGCACATTTTAATCATGTACGTGAACTTGCAATCGTGACTGTGAAGTACAAGGAAGATAGTTTGAGGTCGCATCTCACAAAACGTTTTTTACACTCTAGGAGATTCTCAGTTACCAATCTGCGTGCTAAGCACAAACACCAGAACCAAGAAAGCGTAGGGTTTCTCCAAAAAATAGAAGTAATTGTACTTAGAAATGCCATTCGTATTCTTTAAACAACCGGAGGTAATTTTGAAACTCTGGGATGTAACAGTGTAGCATGGTATTTTGGCGCATCATTCATGGGTAAGGGGAAATTTATTGTTTCTAAGGCTGATGTTTTCTAATTATTTTATTATCGCGCAATAATATTAACTTTATCGAAATTTCCAGAAAGTGGAACTACATCTAGCAATGCTCTCGCAAACCTCATGTATATGACAGGTAATTTCGTTGGACATTTCTTAATAACATAATAATTTAAAGTCAACTATGATCGACATGATCATAGAAATGAATGCAAACTATCAATCCTATAACTTCGGTGATTTCCTATAGTAAGTTTAGAAAGAAAGTCGGTTCAAGGTGAGGAAGATTCGAAAATGTTTGGTAATATGAGCAATACCTATGTAATGATCAAAGAGAGTTATAAACTAGAGGAAATGCAAACAAACAAATGCAAAGGAGAAAACGATGCCTCCAGGCGGGATCGAACCACCGACCTTCTGTTTACAAGACAGACGCTCTGCCACTGAGCTATAGAGGCTCCGTCGTTCGTCCTGTGTTCTGCACAGAACACGGTGAATTACCATGTTACAATGAACTTCTAAATCTTCGGACAATTTTTTTCGTTTCGAAAAGATTAACATGTTATGACAATGTTGGGATCATTCGTATCAATCAAAAATGAGCAGTCGGAGTTTCAGTGAATCACCATTAATGCCTCTTAAATATATGCCATTCGTCGTTTTTCTACCATTCTGTTAATAAAGAAACACACGGAACCTACGACTAAATAACGGAAAACTGAGGCTTCTCCGTTATTCACGACGTCGCGACTTGATTCATAGGACTGAAAGGCACGCGTATTTGAACCTGAACTGGCTCTTTCACTGTAATGACATGACAGAACTGTCAAAATCATTCAAGCTTTGACAACGAAATAAGTATTCAAGAGATTCCACTGATAATCGAATAACTAAGTGCGGCACCAGTGAACTGCATTCGTTCTCACTGCGTCCTAGAATTGCTCAGTTTGATCTGTTTGCTCGAGGAATATGGCCATTGTTCTTCGTAAAAAAAAAGTTTAAACAGCTGCATTGCAACCTTGCTACGTACTCTTGATATTATGTGGACTCCAGTGATTCACTCTACACTGTGGAAATGGATGATCGCACTGAATCGTTTTCGAAGCCTTGTACATGGCTCTCTTTCGACCAGTTTCCTGTCAACAGTGTTGAACACGCATCGAATGAAGTTCGTAGGCGGCAGACACGCAGATGGAGAGATAGTTGCCGACTTAATGCGAACTTACCCCGTGCAAAATTACAATTTTTCTAGCTTTCAGGTTATGCACGATTCTTTTCATTAGTTCTCTGCAAGTGATTTCTCCGCCTTGGCCGCGGAGAGGGATAACGGAACCCTGCAAATCAATTCCTTTAGTCATCAATATCCTCTTTCATGGCTATTCCGCAGAGTTGGTTGAATTTCAACGAATGTTGTTGAATGTCACCGGCTTGTTGGAGTAATATGTTGGCGTATGAGCTTGCTATTTCTGAACACAAACATATCTAGACGATTTCAAATTCTCGGCTTTCTTGTAGCCACCGTGAAGCTGTCGAAAACCCAATTCTATGACAAGACGCCACAGTGATCTTGGTTAACTAGAACCTTCTACCCGTTATGATATGGCTGAAAAGAAGATTTCTTATAAATCTCAGCATAGCTAATCTATATATGCATATATATTCATTTGAACTGCCCTTGTTGAACTGATGCGAGGTTGGTACCAGTTGTCCTTGCCCTTGTTGATGCTGGGTCCGATGACTAACGTTTCGACGACGTCACCTTCTTCAGAGCCTGCACTTTTTTGTGTAACGATATCCACATAGGTCGGTGAAATATTTATAGTACTGATAACAATCTAAAATAGAAATAAGTCGTTTTGTTTAAAAACTACCTACCGTGTTATTAGGTGTGGCACCACCCGAGTGTTGTTCACGTGGGATGACGACCCACTGAAGTCAAAGAACCATTTTGAAAAAAGGCGCCTGATCACGTGTGCTAGTGAAGAATTTCTCTTTCCGGATCATCTTTATACTTTTGAAAATTATCTAAAACTCTTTGAGAGTCTTCGAGAGCGGAAGAGTTGACGTTTTTGATTCCTGCGGTAGGATCCAGGCAATCACTTCGAAATCATCAACGTTGTGCTTTTGCGCCTTATGTGTACCTAGAGGAGTGCCTTATCCAATTTTAAGCCTCCCATCTAGTTGTTCTTTTATGTAGATACGAAGTGGTCGTCTACCCGTTTTACTAAGATGTTCTACAGCGCACACCTCACATGGGCTCACGTATATTGTACCTGAGCTCATGCAATCCCCGTCTCTCCCGTTAGGACAAATTACACAACTTTCTGAGCTGTATAGACGATCGGTAATTGATACTGTGTGGGAGCTCAACAACAGCTACATAATTTCAAGGGAACTTTATCTTAAACACCTCTTAATGGCGTAATTTATTTCTTTTGATATGAAGGATAGTTTTGAAAAGATCATTTAGGCTGAAACGCCATTTTGAGACACAACCTTACGTTTTCATCCGACCCAAGTGGCTTCTGCTTTGCAGCCGTTGGAAATGGCCATCTTTCGTGCCAAGTTTAACAACTCCTCCCTTTTCTCTTCTCCTGTGCAGACATTTTTTTAGGCGTTCGGAAGATAGAATATCAAGGTTACTAAAACTCATCATCACCTAATTACTAAGATTTTTCCAGTCCATCTACCTGGCATAAAAATATCCCTAGATCACCTATAGTGAGTGCAGCCAAAGAGCACGCATTTACCGGAGTCATTAAATGTTACCTCACTTTATACGTAGAATGATTCTCCAATTCGAGGCATTCTTGGGCCGCTCATAAAACATAAAGAGAGAATAGATGTGTGTAGCTTTTCGACTCAAAAATTAGCGACTCTGGAAACAGTGGCTTTATTTTGCAATCTTCTTGTGTTCGGGAAGATATTTTACAAAAGTTAGAAGATTAGGCATGGGACAGCGATTAGCACCAAGCCTTTCCATTACTTTCATGTACAATGTGGAAGCTCCAGTTTTCAATCACCGATTCTTATTCTACTGTATATACACAGACGTCAGCTTAATCGCGTGTTCTCCACACGAAAACAGGTGGACAAGTGCTTTGAATTAGCAAATAGACACCCGGAGTATATAAGATCTACGCGAGAAAAACAAACCGAGGACTGGATTCCATTCTTAAACATCCAAATCAAGTTCTCAGAAAGTGAAATGGTATCGTAAGCCAAATACTAAAGATATACTAGTTCACTACCATTCCTCTCATTCTTCACACATCAAAAAAGCACTCATTGAAAACATGTACCGAACGGCTAAAAATTGTGCAAAGCAGAAGCTGAAACGAAGGAATCATTACACTTGGCGTGAACAATAGCCATTTCCAGTGGCTGCAAAACAGCAGCCACTCGAGTTAGACCAAAAGGTAGGGTTATGCCCTAATATAATATTTCAAACCTTGATAAGATCGCTTTCGAGTTAACCTTCATACCAAACGAAATAAACCACGGCATTAAAAGGTGCCTGAGAAGAGGTGGTCTTGAAAATTCTGTGCTGGTTACTGATCTCGTCCCTAAGCTGTCATTTAAACCGCGATTAGCTCTACGGTCGTTTTTGCGACTCGGAAAATTGAGTGTTCTACTCTAACAGCAAAGAAGCAAATTTTATAAGTTCAGGTATTCACACCTCCCAACGGTTTCCCAGCTCATCGTGGCTGGGAGATGTTCCTGGGTGTCGGACTGAGAAGTACAGCAGGGAATTCCATCCACTCGCAGGGTCTCCCAAGCTCAAAAGGTGACCGGCGTTTCCATCAGGAAGCCTAGCTAAGAGTAAACCAATACCGGAATCCACCATAAGAATAAACTAATACCGGGATCCACCACCGTCTTGGTATCAAATTAGACGCATGGTGGCAAATTTTTCCCTGATCCACAAGGGCGGAGACAGCCCGTGGCAGTGAGCACCTGGGGCAGACTGTGGCCATGCTGACCTTGGGATTCCAGGAAACCACAATGGCTTAACTAGCTAATCTCCGAAAAATGGAGATTTTGCTGCGGCCTGCATAACCAGCGAGGACGGGCCATTCAAGTATCAAGTAAGGTATTCACAATACACTAGATCTCATGTAAGACAT